AAACCAAGGAGTATGGGAGATTCATCATTATTCCTATACCATTGACGTTGAGATGGTCAAAACAGAGTCCTTCCTCACAACCCTATATCCCAGAATATAAAGGCAGAAAATCTCACAATATCTGCTTTGAACTGGGTTGAGTCCACACTCAGATAATGTGGGATTTTCTGCCTTGATATTCTGGGATATAGGGCTGTGTGGAAGGGCCCCTACTATGATTTTCCTGGAACTGAGAATCTTTATTTTATGAATAGGATCTTACTGGGAAGCGATTGAGCGATACAGCGTTGCAGTTTTAATTATAAAATCCTGTATTGTATATCACTAGTGCTTGCGAGAGATAATGTTGGTGAAAATTGAGTTTTTGTGCTTCAAAGCGTGATCCAAACAGAACCGAGGGACAAACACATATAAATACTCGTAGTTTACTTGATTTTTCAAAGAAGAGGGTTTAGATCTCAGCCTAAAATACAGTTGCCTCTGAAAGACTTAAAACTCCTAATCAGGACCCAAGTCTAGACAGTTGGTTGTGTTTACTGCTACTTTCTTCTTGCATCTTTACTGTGGCGCCACCAGTGAAGCGATTTTATTGTTTCAATGGGGATGAAGTCAGCTTCTGCCATCGCATCTCCATTCCGCTTAACTTCTTAGGACTCTCTCAAAGGGAAAAAATGTGATATGTGGGATTGATATCCTGATTTCTCTATTTTTTTTGGTCCCCTTGGATAAGAGTGTCCATTGGCCTTATAAACAAAGGAAAAGCAACAAAGGAGAGATGCTTCTGTTGACGCCCAGAGAGGAAAACACTTCCGCCTCTAGCCAAGAAAACTATTATTGTTGTTATTGTTATTGTCCTTCTGGGTAGAGAGGGTGTGTTATAAAATCTTCTTGTTGTTATAATATGCCTTTGGACAGCTCCATTAAGGCCTTCTCTTGGTCTTTCCTCAAGTATAGTTATTGGGTAGAGGGCAAAATTCAGATCTTGCCCTCCAAATAAGAATCAAGGTCTCCAATTTCTGCTATTGCAAAGGGTGGATGAAAATAGTCCACACCTGGACATTTACTGTGTTCCCATTCCCTTGTTAATCTTTTCTTTCCCCTTTTCTTGGGATGCTCAAAGTCTATTTCTAAATGACCGACTGGCTTTTTTTTTAGTGTCTTGCAATGATAGACATTTGGGATCTGAGGGGAAGTCTCATGAAGGGACCCATTTTATGCTCTCCCCCTTCCTTCTGCCTCCAGCCTCCCCTCTGAACCTCTTTCCCATGCCTTTCCCAGATCTGCACCCTCGCCAAGGGTCGGTGCGAAATATCTCCAAGGCACAACTTTGAACGGGTGAGAAGAACCTCTTTGTACACACAGGATACCAAACTCTATCATTTAAAGGGAGAATTTCCGGGAGCAATTCCATTGTCCCTCTTCCCGTTTATGATGTGCAATATAAGCAGGGCAGTAAAAGCTGTCTTTTCCCGAAAACTCCCTCCTCGTCTGAAGGACGGAAACTCGTTTTACGATCCGTTTCAAGGCAGGATCCGGCCGTAACATCCTCAATGGGAGCTGGACTCCTTATTGCGGGGCTGAGAGTCTTTACAAAGGCAGGAGCCAGGATGTGGAAGGGGGGGGGGCACCCCATATCCTGGCCAAAACAATCCCCCAAAAGGTGTTGAATGCCGGTATTAGAAAAAGAAATGGAGGGAGAGAAACGGGTCCAAAATGCATCCCAAGGCCCTTTTCTTCCCCACTGAAAGAATTCCAGTTTTTATGAAAACAGGTGCTGAAAGTCCCTTGGTTTTATTGTTACTTTCAACCTCATTGTATGTGTATACCTCATTATCTATTAATACCCGTGTGTCCATGTACATTAAATCAAAGGTAATGTTCTGATGAGGGGAAAATGCATGCAACAATGCACATGCAGTTGCAAAATAAGAGGAATAATATAATAATAATAATAATAATAATAATAATAATAATAATAATATATTGTATATGTGTTCCTCCATGGCTATGAATATGTATGCGGCTATGTATATGAAATCAAGGGTAATGTTCTAAGGGATGGAAAATTCTTGTACAAAGCAAACCAATTGCCAAATAGGAGGAATAATAATCTCCCATTGTGTGTGTGTGTTTGGGTGTGTATATGGTGTGTATATGTAAGCCTCTCCACGTCTATGTACATTCATATGAAATCAAGAGTAGTATTCCGAGGGATGGAAAATCCATATACCAAGCAAACCAGTTGCCAAATAAGAGGAATAATAATCTCCTATTGTGTGTGTGTGTTTGGGTGTGTATATGGTGTGTATATGTATGCCTCTCCACGTCTATGTACAAAGCAAACCAATTGCCAAATAAGAGGAATAATAATCTCCCATTGTGTGTGGGTGTGCATATGGTGTGTATATGTATACTTCTCCATGTTTATGTACATTCACATGAAATCAAGGGTAGTGCTCTGAGGGATGGAAAATTCATGTACCAAGCAAACCAGTTGCCAAATAAAAGGAATAATAATCCCCCATTGTGTGTGTGTTTGGGTGTGTATATGGTGTGTATATGTATGCCTCTCCACGTCTATGCACATTCACATGAAATCAAGGGTAGTATTCCGAGGGATGGAAAATTCATGTACAAAGCAAACCACTTGCCAAATAAGAGGAATAATAATCTGAGGGATGAGAAATGAAATCCAGGCTCATGTTCTGAGGGATGAAAAAATCGTGCTCAAGGAAAACCAGTTGCAGAACTAAAGGAATAATAACACTGGCCCACACACATTTTGGTGTCTCAAATGTTAGCCCTGTTTCTAGGTAGATTTGACCTGCTCATTCCAAAAATGGCACTAGTTTCCCCCTATCAGCTTTAGTTTTTGAGATACAGAACATATGTCACATACTAGTCTTCATTTGCTCACCAATCTTGATAACCATATCAAAGAAACTAGACTGATGCTGTCTATCCGGTGCGATTTTCTGAATCAGTGCCTCAAATAACCCCAGAAATAGGGGGAAAAATTCAAAGCTAACCTTGAACATTTTTTGTTGTGCTGTGTAATCCCTCCCCCACTGTACATGTGTATATGCGTGTGTGTCTCTGTACATCTGCTTGACATCAAGGGTCGTGTTCTGAGGGGTCAAAAATGCAGGCATGTGGAAAGATCTTGCAAGTCAAGGCAAACCAGCTGCAGAATAAGAGGCATGATAACAACCATTGGATCTCTTGATCTAATCCTTCTTGGAAGGAGAGGATCTGGCAGAAGGAGACACGCGTCCTCGCCCTTTTGTGAGGAGAGGCGCTGAAAGATGTCTGTCTTAACACTCCTCTTGAAAACTTGTAATCTTCCCGGGTTGCCTCTTTCTTTCCTTTCTTATTTCTTGTTTAATAAAAACAGCAGAGCAATTATCAACACAAGGAGACTGATGAAAGAGCATTTCTTTCATAAGCCTTTACTCATCCCGCCTGGCATGCCAATCTCCCAATAAATCTAAGAGCAAATTTGCCAGCCGCTTATATAAGCAGTCCCTCCATCCATATATATGCAGAGATCTACATGGAACGACTTTTTAATAGGCATGTATGTTGTTGGAGCGCTTCCTCCAGGAAAAGCCAACCCACGCAGGATTTGCAGAGTCGAGCCCACTTTATCGCAGCCTAGAAGTAGACCGACACCAATATTTTGAGAGAAAGAAAAGGCAAGTGTGTTCTGGTGGCATGGGTGCTTGTGTGGACGCGTGTGTTTACACTCACACATGCATCAAGGGAGGAGGCACAATAAAGCGGAACTGCAGCCCTCATCTTCGGGCTTTTCCACACTGCCATATAACCCAGAATATCAAGGCAGAAAATCCCACAATATCTGCTTTGAGCTGGGTTATCTGAGTCTACACTGCATATATCCCAGTTCAAAGCAGAAAATGTGGGATTTTATCCAGCTGTGTGGAAGGGGTCTGGAATGTGAAGTGCCAACATTACTGGTCTTATTGTTGCTGCTGCTGTTGTTAAAATTATGTGTTTATTGCTGGGTTATTTTTATGGAAGGGTTTTATGGCTCAATGTCTGTTGTAGCTTAGCCTGGCTATTCCCTCCCCCTCCCATTCCCATCTTATAGAAGAGATAATAGTAATAATGATGATGATTATGATGATGATGATGATGATGATAATAATAATAATAATAATAATAATAATAATAATAATAATAATGTGGTGTCGAAGGCTTTCATGGCCAGAATCACTGGGTTGCTGTGAGTTTTTCGAGTAGTATGGCCATGTTCCAGATGCAGGGAACATGGCCATATAGCCCGGAAAACTCACAGCAACCCAATAAAATAATAATAATAATAATAATAATAATAATAATAATATGTTGTTGTTGTTGTTGTTGAAGGCTTTCATGGCCGAAATCACTGGGTTGCTGTGAGTTTTCCGAGCTGTATGGCCGGAACATGACCATGGAACATGGCCAAACAGCCGGAAAACTCACAGCAACCAAGTAGTAGTAGTAGTAGTAGTAATATGTTGTCGAAGGCTTTCATGGCCTGAGTCACTAGGTTTCTGTGAGTTTTCCAGCTGTATGGCCATGTTCTAGATACATGGAACATGACCATACTATCCGGAAAACTCACAGCAACCTAATAATAATAATAATAATAATAATAATAATAATAATAATAATAACAACAACAACAACGAGCAAGGTCTCAAGACATGGAAAGTCAGAGTAGACTGGGTAAGGGACTTCTCTCTGCCCAGAACTATACAGAAAATACCCAATTCTACTTTCTGTACAGTTCTGAGTGGGGAGAGATCCCTTAGTACCCACTAAGAAAATAGAAAACATAAAATAGTATCAAAAGGAGGGGTTAAAGGAAAGGACAAAAATCAAGGTTTCTTAAGGGAGCCCAAGCAACTTGCAAGTAGAACTGGGGAGGGGAAATCGAGGAAAAAATGGTTTTTAAAAAAGGAAAGGTGAAAGGACAGCAATCCAAGTTTCTAAGCCCTTGGTTTCAGTTTCCTAAGGGAGGCCAAGCATTTTTCCCGGAGAGCCTTCCTTCCTCCTTCCCTCCTCCGAGCGGGTGGGCGCTTGAAGCGGCTTGAGACCCCTTCCTTGCCTTTGAATTTGCGACTCCCCTTCGAGGTCCACGCCGGGACCATTGCTGCGCGTCCTTCTCCCTCTCCCTCTCTCCCACCTGTGATGCGGGCGGGGATTGGAGGACAGGGTCATATGACGCGTCACGTGGTGGCGGCGGCTCCTTCCACCCCCAACCCTCCCCCAGAAGAAAATGGGGTTTGGTGTAAATCTGGGGGTGTAATGTTATCATATATCACGCTACCTCGTAAAACCGACACCGAAGCCTACCGGACCACAAATCACCACCGGCCGAAAATTATGAGCTCTTCGTATTATGTGAACGCGCTTTTTAGCAAATACACGGCGGCGGGGGCGGCTTCGCTGTTCCCCAATGCGGCGGAGCCCACGGCTTGCTCCTTCGCCACCGGCTCGCCCCGCAGCGGCTATGGGGCCGGGCCGGGCGCCTTCGCCTCCTCCATGCCGGCCTTGTACAACGTCAACAGCAGCCTCTACGCCAACCCCTTCTCCTCCGCCTCCGCCTCCTCCGCCGGGTACAGCCTGGGCTCCGACGCCTACAACCTGCCCAGTTGCGCCGCCGCCGCCGCCTTCGACCAGAACATCCCCGTCCTCTGCGGCGACCTCGCCCCCAAGGGCTGCGAGAAAGCCGAGGGGAGCCACCTGCACAGCCAGGCCGAGAGCAATTTCCGCATCTACCCCTGGATGAGGTCTTCAGGTAGGAGGAAACCTGCCCAGGGAAGGAAGGAAGGAGGGAGGGAAGGAGGGGCGGGGGGGGGAAGCCAAGTTCTCCCAAGGAAGGAAAGGAGGGAAGGAGACAGAGAGAAAGAGAGAGAGAAAGAGAGAGAGAGGGCGCGCCCGCCTCCTCTCTTTTAATTAGAACCGAGGCGCCATTGCCTCCAAAGCCCGTGGCATTGTATGTAAATGAGCCCCATAAAACTTTTTATGGCCCAATTAATGGGTTCTAGCCTCGTAAATTTATTTTACTCACTTTGTTATGGAATGAGAGCCCTGAGGTTGGAGGTTTTATTCAATCCTCCTTCCTCTCCCTGATTTTATTTTTGAATCCACTCCCTTCTCAAAGGTGCCCCAAAAGGTGGGTTCACTCACTTTGTTATGGAATAGGAGCCCTGAGGTTGGAGTTTTTTCAAATCCTCCTTTCTGCCCCTGATTTGTAAAAAACACACTCCCTTCTCAAAGTAAGGTGGGTGAAGGTGGCCTCCTGGCACAGAAGGGTTAGTAGAGGCACTGGGAGGAGTCCAAGAGGGTTGTTTTGTTTCTGAAGGTTAGGCATATTTGAGTCGACCCCCAGCGCCTTCTATTCCTGGACTCATGACTCATGCATTCCTGGAGCAAAAAAAAAGTGTGACCTTGTCTTTTTATGCTATTGAAAATATTTCTTTCTCTTTGTCCAAAAGGATGGATTGCGGTAAGGAAAGAAAGGTTTTCTTTGGGCAAGGGAAATCCGATTGCACCCTCTGTCACTGGATCTGCACTGCCAAATAATGCATTATATGGTCAATGTAGACCCACACAATGCAGCTCGAATTATATTCAAGCCAATGTTGTCAAAGGGAGGAGTAAACATGGTATTTTAGCTGCTAGGAGACACAATTCTGAGTTCTGGATGGTGTCCACCTTTCATCTTCATTGGAAGTCTGGAATGTGAAGTATGACCCTATAAGTCTTCCCAGTCATTTCCCTAGTATTAGTATTTATTACACGATAAATAAGTAGTATTAGTATGAAAATTATGCATTGAAACTCGAAGATCTACCCAAAATCTTCTTCTGGAGAGCTTCAGACAAGTTCAGACTGTGAAGGTAAACACACTGAGGGATTTCAAGGTGACTTCAACCTGGGACTAAATCCCATTGAATCCCAATACTACCAGTTTGGGAGTCGAGAAGCAGTATATTGCATTGGAGGAAATGGGAGTTGAAATAGATCTCCTGATATCCTAGTTGTCATTTAACTGAGGAGAACCTACTCTCCCGCAGACCTATAGCTTTGGGAGGAGATCTGGGTGCTGTCTCTCTACAAATGTCTTTGTCCTTGGAAGGGGCAAGGAAGTGGTGTCCAAGGAGGGATTGTCAGGACATGGGTTGCTGCAGTTTTCCAGGCTGTATGGCCATATTCCAGAAGCATTCTCTCATAACGTTTCACACACATCTATGGCAGGCATCCTCAGAGGTTGTGAGGATGCCTGCCATAGATGTGATGAACGTCAGGAGAGAGTGCTTCTGGAACATGGGCATACAGCCTGGAAAACTCACAGCAATGCAGTGATTCCGGCCATGAAAGCTTTCCACAACACATTGTCAGGACATGGTTTGCAAATTCCAAGCATAGCTTCAGCCAGATCGCCTTATTTCCGGCTCCTTTAACTGGCGTGGGCCCTCTTTCTCCTTTTCTCTCTTCTTCCTACCCTCTCCATGTAGGTCCGGATCGGAAGCGAGGCCGCCAGACTTACACCCGCTACCAAACCCTGGAGCTGGAGAAGGAGTTCCACTTCAACCGCTACCTGACCCGCCGGCGCCGGATAGAGATCGCCCACGCTCTTTGCTTGACGGAGAGGCAGATCAAGATCTGGTTCCAAAACCGGCGCATGAAGTGGAAGAAGGAGCATAAAGAGGAAGCCCCTGGAGAGGGAGGAGAAGGTGGAGGGGCCCCGGCCGCCCCCAAAGACAGCACACCCGCTGCAACCTCCGTGGAGAAAGTAGAGGAGGAGGAAGAGGAAGAAGAGGAGGAGGAGGAAGAGGAGGAGGCATAATCCTTTGGGGTCTCCTTCTCCCAGGAGCAGTCGGTTCTCCGCTCTCCTGTATGCACGTGACTTGTAAAATCCCCCTGAAATGAACCATGAAAAATACAAGAGACCCTTCTAATGGCCATATAAGGAGGCGGGAGTGGGGGGTGGCTGGAGAGCCCTTTTAATCCCCCTTTCTCTCTCCCCCCCCCGAAAGACACCATCCTAGGCTGAAGTAGGTTCTCCATGGACTACTATGCTGCCCCAAGCCTCTTGTCATTGTTTTTTCTTCTTCTTCGTCTTGTGACTGGATCGCTAGATAAGATTTTTACTGATATTTGTGACAGGAAATATATATATAAATATATGTATATATATATAAATTGCACAGAAAGGGGTGGGGGGAGAGAAGTCCCTTGTAATGTATCCTTCCAGATAGAAACTACCTGACTATATATTGGTCCAAATCAATCCCGAAGGGAGAAGTGCATTAGGTTCATACTTAAAACTACCTAATTTGAGGCTGCATTTCCAGCTCCTATGATGTTTCCCCCCCTCTGTGTATGTTTCCTCAAATAACCTGGAAAAGGGAAGCGGGAGAAATACTTAAGATAAAGCAAGGTGAATAAACCACTAGACTACAATGTTTCCTACTACCTATGTTGAAGACTACCTATTCTCGAGCTCCGCCTACCTATCTCCCATACGATACTGTATTTTATTAATGCGGGGGGGGGGGGTTAAGGGGGGGTTGGGAAGGGAAAATCAGAGGGAAGTGACTTGTTTGTAGAACTGAAGCTTAGAGAAGGAGGCACCCAAGGAAGTGGCCAAGCCTCCCTAGTTCGGATATAGTATTTCTCGTGTATTATTGCTAGGTCTAATTTAAAGTTTTCTTTTTTAAAAATAAAATAAAATAAAGGAAAATAATATATTTATTCCAGGCCAAGCGAAAACCGTATGCTGCAATAGAAGCAGTCCTCACAAATCTTCGCTTGTCCGCATTTTCGCAAGTCCGCATTTTCATTTTCCGCACCGCAGTGATTGTACAAAGCGGCCCCATCTTTTCCTTTTGTATTTACGTCCTTGATGGCCAGATTGATATTTCATTCTTAAATCTTTAATTCCATGTAAGTAGTAACAGGAGGAACAAGAAAAGGGAGAATTTCTGTGTACCCTCCTCCTTTCCTTGCTCCTACTGTTCTCAGAATACATTAGATAGGAAAACGCCGTTGCCCGTTACTGTTAAGGTGAATTACTACATCTTGCTACCCAGAATGAAACTTTTGCCTTTTGTTGTCTTGCAACGCATTCTATAACACACTATAATATTCCTCATCGATGAAATAGTCTACCAGGAAAGTTCACGCTCTAAATAAACAAATGTTAGGCTTTCAAGGGGCCACAAGACTCTCTTGCTGTTTGTGCTTCAAGTTGCAGCATGAGGCAATATTTTTAGGGAGGAGGTCTGTTTTTTGTTTTTGTTTTTACAAAAGTCAAGATATCCTTCTGTAGAAATCAACTCCCACCTCGACCGTTTGAGCTACACTTTATTCATGAATTGTAATTCACAACATGGGTTCTGATTTTCCGTTGTGTTCACTGTGAACATTGGGGTGTTTTGTGTGAAAATGAGGGGAGGAGGAGGGAACGTTCAATGTGTTCTATGTTATACAGAAATAAAAAAATACTTGACAATGGATCCTCTTGTGTGTGTTTTTGGACTCAAAAAATATACATAAACAACCAAATGCTACACAAACTCTGACGATGCCTGCCACAGATGTGGGTGAAACGTCAGGAGAGAATGCTTCTGGAGCGTGTCCATACAGCCCAGAAAACTCACAGCAACCCAAATACTAAGTTCCCAGCAAATCAGAAAATCCCAAATTGGAATGGACTACACAAAATGAGAATCCACAGCTAGCTACCAAAGATATTCATGGTTTTTTTGCTGATAATTGGCAAAAAAAGCCAACACAATGCTGTTTTTCTAGGATAATTCGCCTAGGAGTTAAACTTCAGTGTGAGGCTTTGAGTCTGGTTTCACGCTGCCATATAATGCCAGTAAAGAACCATATATAATGCAGTTCAAGGCCCCTTTCACACAACCATATAACCCAGAATATCGAGGCAGAATAACCCACAATATCCGCTTTGAACTGGAATATCTGAGTCCACATTGCCATATATCCCAGTTCAAAGCAGATAATATGGGGTTTTATTTAGCTGTGTGGAAGGGGCCAAAGAGATGATGCTTCTTGAACATGGCCATACAGCCCAGAAAACTCACAGCAACCCAGTGATTCCAACCATGGACACCTTCGGCAACACAATGTAGAACCAGCTCGAGAAATCTATGAAATACGCCATTTTCTGTGTGGACAAGAAATCCCTAGACAGATAGCTAAGGATATAAGGTTTTCCCCGCTTCCTTGGCTGGAAAGGAGACCTGAATAGTAAATCTACATTTTGTTCTAAGGGATTCACTTGAGCGAGAATAGGATGCGGCCACAGACTGGTCTTCCAAAAGGACAAACTCATATGTTGGTTTGAGTTGCCTTTTCCGAGGCTTTGGAGGAAATTCCGCATTTAGGGAGGGAGAAAAGCGAGGGAGGGCCAATACGAAATTCCCCGCATTAAAATCCATGCATAGGGGAGGTTTTAGCCACTATACTGGGCGTTTCGGAGCCTTCAAGAATGTGATTTTAAAGATGTTACATTGGAATACTTCCCAAATGTTCTTCCCTGAAACACTTTCTTATTTTTCCAAAAAGACAGGAAGAAGGGAGGAGGGGGAAACGCACCAACCCTGGGCTGGTTTCGGAATGAAAGGGTAATAATCTGTCTAAAAGGGAAAACGAGGGCTAAGACCATTGAAAGGAGAAAGGAAAGAGAAAGGAGACAGAGAAAGCCCAGTCCAAAGTGTGTCTCTTTTTAAAACACACACACACAACCCAGGGCTGGTAAAATGGCGCCTCTGGAAGTCCTGCCTCTTTCTTAGTGATGAGGAAAGGGTCATAAATCCGTTGTTGTTTATGAAAATTTACAACTTTGCAATACAACTTTACGAGGGCTTCCTGTTCTCCATTGGTTGCCGGTGGTCATGTGGATGGGAACCGTGAACATGAACTTTTTTATAATTTCCCTGGCGAGAATAGAGCGGCATTCTTTTGCTCGGCTCGGTCCTGCTTCGGATCTCTCTGCCTTTTCAGTCCTCTCCTTCCAACCCCCCCTTTTTTTTCTCTCTGCGCCCCTCCATACAGCCCCCCTCCCCTCCCCGGTTTTCATTCGTCCTTTGTAAGTCAATAGGGAGCCGCAGACGGGATGGAGGTCCAGTCTCCAGCCTCGCCAGGTCTTGGATGGCCTTTTCCAGCCCCTCCGTGGGAAGGTGTGGCATCTTGGATTCAAAGCCTTGGAGTGGGCACGTTTTCCTGGCGAATTTCCTGCTTCTTTCTGGCACCAAAAAGGAGGGCGATCCGTCTGGAGGCGGCGGAAGCGACAGCTGTCAAAGGGAGCGAAGGGATCCCCTCCAAAGCAGACCCTGAAGGTGAGAAAGGCAGACAACACCAGCATGAATGAACACAGGCGAACCTTGGGAGATTATCAGGCAGGGATGTGACCCTGGAGCACAACCGCCTTCCTTCTTTATACCTAACACACATACCTACAGATGTGTGTATTTATATGTGTAGATTGGACTTAGAATATATCGATCCACCCCCATTTTCTATGCTCCTTTAACTTGCCTGACTTTGGAAAAAAATAACCTATAGTTATTCCATTTTAACTGCATTTGTTCGACAGTAGGATGCATATTTATTACTGGGTTGTTTATTATTTTTAAAGAAACTATCACATTTAATGTTACTTTTTTTAAGAATCACTAAATTGAAATGTTTATATATTGGTGTGCATTATTGATTTGCTTTTTTCGGTATTCATTTGCCATGGATTTTTATTGCTAAGAGATTTCCACTGAAGGGATGGTTGCAAAGAACTAGACGGCGCCTCACCTTGTTTTGAGTTTTCAGGCGGTGATTGATTATTCTAATCGCAGTTTGTGAGTTCGGTGGCTCGATCGTCAGAGGTATACTGGTGTCATTTATGCTGCCTAGCGACTGGGCAATAATATTATGGTCTTTTAGCAGTCTGGAAAGGCGCCTTATTCATTCATGATGTGAAAAGGCTCAACTGCATTACAAAATATGGCTTTTTTTTCCTTTTCGAAAGGGAAGAAATAGATTACTGAATATCTAATTAATGAATATATATATATAGAGAGAGGGCGTGCTATATATATGTATATGTATATAGATGACGTGAAAGCGGGTCGTTTTTTTGCATGTGAACCATCCATTTTGTGTTGCTTTTTAAGCAAATGGTTTCCCAGGACAAAAACATGGCAAAACCTTATCCAGTTCCCATGTTTACATGACTCATTCTGTTTGTTAAGATGAGATGGAGTTGCTTTGGTTGTCCAGAAACGAGGTTGGGGTTTCCTCCGAGCGAGCGGATAAAGAATCGCGGTGCCTTGCATTGCAGTATGTGCTCGACTGCAACTGCAGAGAATGTCGGATTATTTATGGCCGGGAAGAGGAGCCGGCTCAGTGCTGCCACAGTGTGGCCGACGGTGGAACTGGGCGCAGAGAGGGATAAATAAATACCAAACCCTGCGGGGGGATTTATCCCTTTAAAGAAACCTCTATTTAAAATTACTAACAGCACCCAGAACAAAACAAAACCGGTTTTAATTGGCCTTCCGGAAATTACACCCTGTCTGGTTATGTCAAGATTGAAACGATATGTGGGGGAGACGTTGGGGGAGGTGGGAAGCTATTTTCCTTCGAACCAATATTTTATATGGAATGGGATGTGGGGATGTTTGGACCCGGGCAGCTGGAAGAGCCGCAGTGAAACTGGTTGCTAATAGACGTTCCCTCTAAACAAGGGCTAGGATTGAGAAGCTCTGTTTGGATTATCCTCGGCACGCGAAAGGTTGTTCTCTGTTCCCTCTCTCCACAAGAGTGGGATTTGCAAGTGGATTTATACCTTCGGGGAAGGGAGCTTTGCAGCTTAAGAGGGGAGCTGCCCTCCGCACCTGTATTCTAACTTTGTTTGACTTGTGGGGTCGGATGAATTGAAACCGGGGTTTTTAGGGGGAGGGAGGGTGCGAGAGGGAGGGAGAGCCCTCCGCCTGTTAAAGTGGTAGTAGCCCTACATTTGGAAACCAGGCCGGCTAATACTGGGAAAGAATTCGGGAGTTGTGCCTGGTTTTGTTTGAACAGGACTTTTCTGGCTCTTCCCCCTTCAGGGTAAGACATATGTGTGTTTCTGAGCAGTCTGGATTTATCTGAAGTCTTGGGGAAAAGTGCTGGCCAAAACTAGCAAATCTATGTTACTGTTAATAGACCTTGATGAATATTATTCATTTATTGGATAGCAACTGAGGTTCTGGAGAAGTCGAAAGCTTCATTTTTTCCCTACTATGCATTCTGATATACTTTCCTATTTCTGAGTAACAACAAAATTTAAAATTGTTTCCTACTTGGTTTATATTTACAAGAGTTTTCCTCAGAGTTTACTAGCTGCTCCTATTTATAATAATGGTTTGGACGTGGCATTTGGCTGATTAAAATGAACTGGAAGCTAGCCAGGCCATGAAAGTACTGGCCATGAGGCAGGGAAAAAAGTTACCTATAACGTCAAACCCAAGGACTATCCCCCCCCCCCCACTTGAAGGATTAAATGTAGATTACTGTTTATTTAAGATAGTTTGTGAAACTTTCCCTTCCACTTGGGTCTCCGCAATTTTCTTTTAGTGAAAGTTCCTCATATGGGTTCTCAGGAATGGTTCCTGTGTGTTTTTTGCTTCTATATCCTCCCCCCCCCCGCCCCATACTCTCAATTGCATTTATAGGTGACCCTTTGAGAGGAGATTGGCGAATTTCTTTAGAATGAGGAAAAAGATCATTGTTGGAGGCAATCGAAAGCTCGGTGTGAAACTCCAGTTAAGGGACACAAACAATGCCCACAATTAGAAATTTAGGGAGGGTTAAGGGAGAAGAAAGAGCAGGGATGTTTTAACTTACTGCTGTTTTATGGATACCGCAATCACACTCCGGAAATGAAACATACCCGTTTACAAGAGGCACAAAACCGATGGCTTTTCAGGCCTGGAGAGAGACAGTTAGTCCTTTGGAGCACATGAAAAGCTCAGGCTTCGAAGAAGAGGCCAGTGTGAAAAGTCCCTGAACAATTGGCCAAAAAGAAAAGTGAGATTCAACCCCCTGTGCACATTTATTTCTAAGCAAGGCCCAATTAACTCTGGATGTATACACACGAAACACAGCCTTGTATTGCTGAAATACATGGGATCTTTCTGACTTGGCCTGTAGTACTTTCCTCGCCTCAACTCTAGATCTAGTATTATACTGTGAAATTATTACCAGGGTTAGAAAACAAATAAAGACCTTTTGCCTGTCTAAATATGAAATTAACCTTCTGTAACCATGAAGGTAACAATAACCATGGGAAGTTGTCGATTAAATAAGTAATTGTTGGTAAAAATTGCTTTGAGATGCTTGGCACTGTTGCTTTTCATCCTGCAACCAAATCCAGGTACAAATAGGCCCAGAAATGTGCCTATCTTACTATTGAGATAAAAATACCCATTAACAGAAACATGGAGGGTTTAAAAAAAAACTGAGGCAATCTGGGCTCTTCGAAGCAGCTGATAAGCGCCTTGATCTTATTCAGATTCCTTTGAAGCACAGGCTTCGCCAACAAATGAACAGAGGCAACAACAGTGTGGAGAGACACCACTTCCTGTCTGGTTCGTGATCTACTGATCAAACGATCTAGTTCAGCCCTAAGAGACAAGCTTAGCCTGGGAAGGGTTGCAAAAGGAAACAAGAATGGGTTGCTGTGAGTTTTTCGGGCTGTATGGCCTTGTTCCAGAAGCATTCTCTCCTGACGTTTCGCCTGTATCTATGGCTGGCATCCTCAGAAGTTGAGAGGTATATTGGAAACCTCACAACCTCTGAGGATGCCTGCCATAGATGCGGGCGAAACCTCAGGATATAATGCTTCTGGAACATGGCCATACAGCCCTGAAAACTTACAGCAACCTAGTGATTCCGGTCATGAAAGCCTTCGAGGAAACAAGAATGTCGAGAGTTCGGTTCCCCTTCCTTGTTGATCCAGGAAACTATAAGGAAACTCCTTATATTCCGGTGGGAAATGATTTCAGATTATTTGAAGGGCTCTGGATTCTCCCCACCCACTCGAATGAGGCCTGGTTAAGGAAGGAAGGCATTGGATGTGTTTGGTTTTTTCAAAATCCCGTACCCAGATTCTACCAGTTGGAAATGAAAGAACAGAAGGCTCCGCAATTTAAGGGGCCAAACAAGGACATTGGCGGGCCCTCGTGCTTTTCCTGTGTGGGGATTTTAATTGCTGAAGGGCTGGGGAAAGGGGGGAGATTTCCATAGGGACTGTGGATCGTGCCTCACTGTGCAAAGGATTTCCTTCCGGATACGAGGTGCGCCCTGCTCTCCAGGTGCCTTTGGTTCGGCAGGCCTGGGTTTGTTGACTTATTTCCAGCCTCGTCTCCTTCCCAGACACACACAGATATGTGCCCCCCCTCCCCAGTTCTTCTCCAGGAGCGACCCTGCTCCTCTCCCTCTCCCCTCCTTATTCCTTGGGCATCTTCGCCGCCCCATCGCTCTCCCAACTCCTCCTTTGGGCGACCATTGGCACCGCGGTGCCCCATCCATCTGCCGGGCTCCGGAGGTGGGGAGGGCGCGGAAGGCGTGGGGGGGGGGGTGTTGTTTGTAACTTTGCTGCCTCGGTGGCGGCGGATCCCAGGGGAGAAGGCCCTCCGCCGCTCTCTCATTGGACGCCCGGCCGTCAGCTGGTGCTATTTGCTGCTGTCGCTTTTGGCGCTCGGCCATCCAGAAACAAACCCCTCGCATGACTACTAATAGTTATAGCCAGATGTACTAATACACAACAAATCACGGGTATATTCCGGGGACCTGGGGAGCTTCCATGAGTTCCTATTTCGTGAATCCCCCTTTCCCGGGGAGCTTGCCCAATGGGCCAGAGTCTTCCTTCCTGGGGCAGCTGCCCCTCTACCCGGCTGGCTACGAGGCGCTGAGGCACTTCCCCACCTCCTATGGGGCCGGCAGCTTGCCGGACAAGACCTACCCCTCCCCTTGCTTCTACCAGCAGTCCAGCAACACCACGGTCATCTCCTGCAACCGGGCGTCCTACGACTATGGCGCCTCGTGCTTCTACTCGGAGAAGGAGCTGGGCGGGGGTGCCTCCTCCTCCTCGCCCCTCGGAGGGGCCAAGCCACGGGCCCACCACCCAGGGGACTACCTGCCCTGCTTTGCCAACCCCGAGCAGCCCTACAAGCCCGAGGGTGCCCCCCACAAAACCCTCAACGAGGAAAGCAGCGACCGGAAGTACTCCAACCCTGTTTATCCCTGGATGCAAAGGATGAACTCCTGCGCGGGTAAGTCAGTCAATGGGACGCTCCCAATGGGAGATGGAGTGTAGTGAGGGGGTGGGGTAGGGTGGGGAAGGGGGTTGTGGTGTTCTGGGGGTGTAAAGATGAGGGGGGGGGGCTTCATTTTGGTCAGTGGTAAGCAATGGCACCTGCAAGCAAGGGGTAACCTGAGCTAGTCTCTCACGTTCTGCCTCAACCTGACACTTCAGTGGCCAAGAAAAATGACTTTATAAGAATTGCCTCAAGTCTTTACAAACCAATCAAGGTTGCAATTACTAAGAGATCTGCTTGGAAGCAAGTTCTAGGAAATTAATTAATTTTTAAAACAGTGGATGATTAATAATAATAATAATAATAATAATAATAATAATAATAATAGAAGTAATAATAGTAATAATAATACACATAAAGGTTACAATGGCTAGGAAGCATAGGCTGGATTTATACTGTCATATAATGCATCTTAAATTGCATGATATGGTCAGTATAGGCACATTTAGAGCAGTTTAATGTAGCTCAAGCTGCATTATATGGGTCTATCTACACTGATTATATAATGCAGTTCAGTGGCAGTGTAGATCCAGTCTAACTTGGAAGCAAGTTCCAGGGACATTTTAAAATAAGGGTTATTTCAAAAGCAGTCGATTTAAAATAATAATAATAATAATAATAATAATAATAATAATAATAATAATCAAAGACGTGCCTCCTTCAGTGGGTCTCAAAGACTGATGTGCAGGAATATGTCCTCTGTATCGACTGCTCAATATGTTTGTGAGACATTCTCTCTTCCCCCCCCCCCCTTCACTCACTCATTAGTGTATAAGTATTAGCTATTGAATGCACGTTTTCCAGTAATATGTGCGCAGACACAAATCATCTCTCAGGGACAGAGGGGACGGGAAAAGAGAAGACTTGATCAATGGCCAAACTCCCATTGATTTCATTGCGCCAAAATGTTACCCTTTGTCTTTCTTAAAGTGGAAGTTTACAGCAGAAAAGGAAAATACAAGGGTCCAGTTTTAAACCCCAGCAACATTCACACACATCATTAAAAATACATCTTATTTGTTTTTGAAAGAAAAAAATGAAGGGGGAGCCACTTTGTAGTCATTGCAAGATTTTGGAATGAACTACCATGTTTTAAGGGTTCATTGCAATAATAATAATAATAATAATAATAACAACAACAACAACTATGTTCCAGAAGCATTCTTTCCTGACGGTAGCCTGCATCTATAGCACCTCACAACCTCTGAGGATGCCTACCATAGATGCAGGCTAAACGTCAGGAGGGAATGTTTCTGGAACATGGCTATACAGCCCGAAAAACTCAAAACAACCCACAATCTGAGGATGCTTGCCATAGATGTAAGTGGGTAACGTCAGGAGAGAATGCTTCTGGAACATGGCCACACAGCCCTGAAAACTCACAACAACTCACAACCTCCGAGGATGCGTGCCATAGATGCAGGTTAAATGTCAGGAGAGAATGCTTCTGGAACATGGCCGTACAGCCCGGAAAACTCACAGCAACCCACAACCTGCCATAGATGCAGGCAGGAAACGTCAGGAGAGAATGCTTCTGGAACATGGCCATACAGCCCGGAAAACTCACAACAACTCACAACCTCCGAGGATGCCTGCCATAGATGCAGGTTAAATGTCAGGAGAGAATGCTTCTGGAACATGGCCATACAGCCCGAAAAATTCACAACAACCCAGTGAAAGCCATGAAAGCCTTCTACAAAACAATAATAATAATAATAATAATAATAATAATAATAACTGTATATACCTTAGTTTCTAGACTGCAATCCTAAAACAGGAAGGAAGGAAAAAGCTTGCAGCAAAAATCCACTTGCATGGAAGCAGATTTTACTGAAACTCATGCTACCAGCATATAAATGTGCTTTATAATCTAATATCAAATTTCTCAAGTTAGATGCCTCACTATATCAGGACTTGGATCCCAGTCAAAGCTAAACCCTTTCAATCCACACTTATTTTAGAGGAGAGCTAAGCAATGTGCCTGCCTGAGTTTTCTTTTGAAGAGCAATGGAGCTTCAGTGTTTAGCTTTGGCTGGATCATGCCCGAATAGGTGTGTTTGTGGTTGCCACACAAAGAGAGGTAGAAAGTACCCATATGGTTGTACTCCATGCATACATATGCCTTGCTTGTGTCGTTTGGGAAGGAATTCAAGAGTTGCACAAGACAGAAGATCTTGTATTTCTCATTTGGTCCTCAAGATTCTGCTACTAGATTATAATGATTGGGGAATATTTAATTCCGGGGATTAGGCTCAGGGATGAGGCTCTATGTGCCCTATGCAAGGAGGCGACTGAACAAAGCAAACAGGTCTCCAAACTGCTCTCTTGTTTCTTGACCGAGCTCGAAGGCCTTTCTCCTATTGAGATCATGTTGTCTTTGCTTCCCCAGGTACAGTGTATGGGACGCACGGGAGACGGGGCAGACAGACCTACACCCGGTACCAAACCTTAGAATTAGAGAAGGAATTCCATTATAACCGCTATTTAACCAGAAGGCGACGGATTGAGATTGCAAACGCCCTCTGCCTGACTGAACGACAGATTAAAATCTGGTTCCAAAACAGGAGGATGAAGTGGAAAAAAGAAAGCAAATTGATCAATTCCACCCAGCCCGGCGAAGAATCAGAGGAGAAGCCAGGGGAGTAAAAATGATGCTTTTCAGAAAAGTTACCACCTCTTTCCTTAGGAGTCCCCATGCCTCTCGGTTGTGCTCCTTCTTCCAGTACAATCCTCTACAATTATTATTATTATTATTATTATTATTATTATTATTATTATTATTATTATTAGCCTGAGGACTCTCTCAAAGGCTTGATTAAAATATATGCCTATTTATAGCTCTCTCTATATTTGCAATTAACTGTGAAATCTTCTGTCTATAGCATTATTGACTGTAAAAGTGCGTGATGTACATAGTCGGGTCTACAACGTATAGGGTGTTTGGAGTCTAGTTTTTTGTACAAAATGCGTCCAGTGTTCCACATCTATGTCTCTTTGAAAGCCGGCTTGGCTTCTAGAAACACATAAAAGGCCAGTAGGTTCAAAGGGAAAGCTCCAATTTCTAGAGTTCTCCAGTCTCTTATTTATGACTCTGCTGCTAACTAGACTTATTGTTGCTTATTGTTCTCCCCCTTTTCATCTCAGACCAAAACCCATTTATTCCCGAAATTTCAGCTGATTTCAAGGGGACTTATTTAAATAAGTTGCCGCCATGGCAACTTTGAGGAATTAGAAGGTTATGGATTGGGAAGCGGGAAAGATGTATTTCCTCGCAGGTATAATGTAAATATAGAATTAGAGTCAACTCTCCTCTCTCTCTCAATACAAAAGGAAGGGGACGTTTCAGCAACCTTTTTGTTGGATGGAGATGTTGCTAAAAATCAATGCAAAATAGAAATTCAAAATTTTAAAAATACTCAAAAGTCTTGCCTTTCTTCCCTAGAGTCAAACTACAGGGTGGAAAAAATATTTTAAAATTGGAGGGAGTGTATCTATCTGCAGGCCAGCAGTGAGTAAAATAATTATGAATAATAAAGTTTTATTCTTCCACTCCCCAGCCTTTGGACATTGCTAAATTTCAATCTGCAGGTCAGCAGTGAATAAAATAATTATGAATCATAGCGGTTTGGGCTCTGTTAAATTCTAGTCTCTGCAGGTCAGCAGTGAATAAAATAATTATGAATCATAAAGGTTTATACACACACACCCTTTGGACACTGTTAAATTCCAGTCTCAATGTTTCTCAAAATCTCAGAAATACAGCCACGATATAGAAACAAGGGTGGAAGGCAGCACACGGCGTGGTTTAACCCATCCCCAGTACAGTGCAAATGTCTGTTCGTATGAGTGTTTTAGCGTCCATTATGTCTATGTCTATGTATATATGGAAACCTGAAAAATCTTTATTGATGCTATGAAATCTTGACCGCTGGGGCCACGGCTCTGGAGATAAATAAAAGCGACAGAATGACTTCTCTTCAAAAGACCATCCTCAACTTATATTTATGCGAAGAAAGACATACTGGTGCTCTTGCATAAAATAACTGGATTTTTAAATATATATATATATATATATATATATAGGTATATTTCAAATTCTACCACAGGAGAGCTCAATGGAAGGGGAATTTAAAATTGGTACTGGTTTTAGGACACAGATGGCGGGTGTTTCCAGTTTCTCAATAGCACAGCAATTGTTGCTAGGCGGGAAGGGTTTCATTCTCTCCCTTGATTTAAATCATTGGCTGTCTCCTCCAACCCTTATATATGTCTTTGGCCTGGAGGAGACGGTGAATACATTGCTTTTGTTATATATTTTATGTTTTTATATTGCTTTAAAACATATATATTTTAGGAAGACCCTCAAACATTATATATATATATATATATTTAGGGTTTTTTAAAAAAAATAGGTTGAGTCTATTTTCTCTTCCTGGGCTTCTGCCTCCTTGCTGGTTTTCCGATCGGGAGCCGATAGCCCTTCACAATTGGTACACAGTAATGGCACTGCGAGGGCGATGCCATAATTTTGCTATAATGGGCTGTAACCTCGATTCGACCCCGCCGGCTCTTGCGGCAACAGCAGCAGCAGCCCCAGTTCGTTCTATCGGGAAGCCTGCAGTTGGGCCTGTCCTCCAGCAGGTGGCGCGCGAGGCCGACTGACGCTGGGGAGCCGGAGGCGGGCGCGAGCGCCGTGCACGCGCCTCCCCCCTCCTTCCTCGCCCCCCTTTTCCCTTTAGTGCACGAGTTTACCTCTAGAGGTCATCAGGCAGGATTTACGACTGGACAACAAAAGCACGTGATGTGGAGCCGTACCCCATATTTGGGTGCCTACGTAGGAGGGAACCGAGTACATGTCCCAGTCATTTCCATAATTCATCATAAATTGTGCAAGGGTGCTATAGACGCACCAAAAAACGAAGCAAAGAGCCACAAATCAAGCCCCCCAATTTCTGATCTCAAAAAAAAAAATTATATTATTCCACCACCATCACCCTAACCAACCAACCAACCAACCCAACAACAACGACAACAAATGAGCTCTTATTTTGTAAACTCCTTTTGCGGTCGCTACCCCAATGGCCCGGACTACCCGTTACATAATTATGGAGATCCTAGTGCCGTGAGCGAGCAATTCAGGGAATCCGCTGCCATGCATTCCGGCAGGTATGGCAGCAGCGGCGGCGGAGGCTACGGCTACAATGGCATGGACCTCAGCGTCGGCCGCTCGGCTTCCAGCCACTTTGGAGCAGCGGGGCCCTCGGAGAGGACGAGGGGCAGCTACCCCGCCAACGCCACCGCCTCCTCCTCCTCCTCCACGGCCAACACCCCCGAGGCCAGGTATGCCAACCGGGCGGCGGCAGCAGCAGCGGGCACCCACTCGCCACACTCGCCTGACCCGCTGCCCTGCGCTGCTGCTGCCGCTGCAGCCTCCTCGCCAGTCAACAGCAGCAGCGTGAAAAACTCCACCGCCAACTCGACCGGCGCTTCCTCCACTTCCAGCAGCAGCACCAGCAGCAGCACCAGCGCCAACAACAGCCTTGGCAGCGGAGGAAGCAGCCACCTAGGCAGAGAAGGGCTCAGCGCCTCGCCGGGCACAGAAGAGGCACCTCCAGCCGGCAGCGAGCAAGCCAACTCCCAACAGAGCGACCAAAGCCCGGCCCCACAGCCGCCACAACCCCAGATCTACCCCTGGATGAGAAAGCTCCACATAAGCCATGGTAATAATAATAATACTACTAATACTACTACTGATAATAATAAAGCATGCTCAGAGGTACTCGAGAAAGCCGCCTGTCTTGACTATAGAGATCTTGGAGGCAGACAGGAGAGAGAGAATGGGAAAAGAGAGGAGAGGGAAGGGTGTGGGGATTGCCTAGAGGCACACACTTTGCTCGCAAAATAGATTATGGAGGGTGGGATGGGAGGGTGAAGCATAGGGTTGTCTAGACGCACACATTTGGCATGCAGAGAGAAGGCTGCTCTTCAAACTCTTCTCCAGAAAGCCTTCTCTCTGAATTGGAATGTGTGTGTGTTGTTGTTTGTACATGGGGTCTATCTTGAGGAAAAGAGAGTGAGGATTCAGTGCAGAGAACTAGAAGAAGTCAGGCCAGAGAGTGAGCTGCTTCGAGGAACTCTTCCCCAAGTCTCCAGAACTGGGTACGAAGGGGAGAGAGAGGAGAGGCAGCATACACAGAGGGAAAGGTCTTGAATAGTGAGTGTCAGCCTCTGTAATTTATGACGAGGACCGTCCAGTGAAAAACACCGTTACTAATTATATCAAAAAAGGAGTTGAGCAATCTGTGTGTGTGTGTGAAGTGGGGGGAGAAGAAATTATCTTGGAGGGAAGGAAGTCGAGGGGAAAATCTTGCGGGGGAGAGAGAGGGACTGGCGGCGCGGGGGGGGGGGGGGGGGGGGGGGGAGGATACACATAATAGTCAGTCTGGCGGTCCTGGAAACTATTCCCATTGCAAACCAAGTCCTAAATAATGTGTCGAGGCTGTAGGTTGCCCTCCCCTGAGCTTCTGGACTCCAAAACTTTATTAAAGGAGTCTGAAAGCCTAAAAGGGGAAGTTTAGGTTGTTCTCGAACTAAAAGAAGATAGTAAATGAAGTGTGGGGGCGTAGAAGAAATGCTTCCATTGAAATTCACCAGCACTTGGCTAACAGTAAAAAAAAAAAAAAAAGAGCAAGGGGAGGACTGGAGGAAGGCTATTGGAAAATCCAAAGTGCTCAAAATTATTTAAGGAAAAGGAAGAAGGGCTATGGAAGGGAAGTAAGTGAGGAGGTACTTGTTGAGTCTCTTTCCCAACTTAACTGGGCTTGGAGGAACAGGAAACAGGATAGAGAGGGAGGGAGAGGGAGAAGGATAGTGGTGGGTCCTGTTGCCCCCGGTTTGCCACCTTCCTAACCCGCTTCCCCTTCTTCTTTTATCAACCTCTGGTTGCAGACAACATAGGGGGGCCCGAAGGGAAACGGGCTCGGACTGCTTACACCCGCTACCAGACGCTGGAGCTGGAGAAAGAGTTTCACTTCAATAGATACCTGACCCGCAGGAGGAGAATTGAAATCGCACACGCTCTTTGCCTCTCAGAGAGACAGATCAAGATCTGGTTCCAAAACCGGCGCATGAAATGGAAAAAGGATAACAAGTTGAAGAGCATGAGCATGGCAGCGGCTGGAGGAGCCTTTCGCCCCTAAAAGAGGGACCCCGGATTTGCTCCTGCCTCCCCGGAAACCCCAACTAAACCCAAAAAAACAAACCCAAGTACTGAGCAGTATTATATGAGCTGACTCTGCGTGGAATGTCAGTTGTCTGTCTGTCTGTCTGTCTCTCTCTGCCTCTCTCTCTCTCTCTTTCTGCCTTTCTCTCGCGTTGACTTGCTCCAACTTCCCTGGGAGTGGGGAAAACACTCCCTAGTCCATCTTTTAATCATGAGCCTGTTTTAATTGAGCTTTCCCAGCGCGGGTTACCAGTAGATCTGCTTCTTTGTCTTGAATGGCTTTGTCTTGAAGAAGAAGAAGAAAAAATAATAATATGTAGATGTTTTAACTTATTTATATAAAGCGAGTGGTGTTACTTGAAGTAACTGTAAAAAGGAGGGAGGGGGGAGAGTACACACTCACAAAAAACCCTAGTAAGGGAGAGCCATCTACTCCCTTCTTCCTTCCCTCCTTCCTCCCTTCCCTCCTTCCTTCCCTCCCTCTCTTTCTCCCCCACCCCTGTTTCCACCCCCATGTTTTTCTGTGTGTTGCACTCGCTGTGCTTAACTGTGCATGTGTGTTCAAAATAATAATAATAATAAAGTGTCGGTGTCTGTATAGCTCCAAGCTGTGGCCAAGATTTCCAATCCAAAACTACCTATTTTAATTCCTGTTGTCATTAATGGCTGTTGTAGAGGTGAAATGATGAAAAACAAAAAAAACCCGGAACGTGTCCTAACTTGTAGTGAATATAGTGAATCTGTGACGAAAACTGTGATTCCAGACAGTATGTCCTTGCTGTGCCTTTGTATATGATGACTCTTTTGCACGAACTCTTGGAAAAGTGGCTTTTCTTAAGCGCAGCTTCAGTAATGTATAGGGTGCTTTCTTTCTTTCTTTCTCACTCTCTCTTTCTCGTGGATAAAGTTACACATTGAGTCAAAGTCTGGCTGGCTGTCTGAGCAAAAAAAAATAATGTGATGGCCTTTTCAAAAATGTTTTGTTTTTTTTTAAAAAAGAACTGACTGGAAAAATAAACTTTCTATTGTAAGGGTTTCCCCCATTTCTTTGTGCCCTCACCCCCTTTTCCTGGTTGGTACTCTAAGGTACCTCAAGATTGCCTCCTTTAGTTTTCTCATTAGATCAAAGTTGAAAAGAAACTAAGCTTTACCCAACTAATAGGATGGGAATTTATTCTCGAAGGCTTTCATGGTCGGAATCACTGGATTGTTGTGAGTTTTCCGGGCTGTATGGCCACGTTCCAGAAGCATTCTCTCCTGACGTTTCACCTGCATCTATGGTAGGTTGTGAGGTCTGTTGGAAACTTTCCTAGTTTCCAACAGACCTCATAACCTCTGAGGATGCCTGCCATAGATGCAGGCGAAACTCAGGAGAGAATGCTTCTGGAACATGGCCATTCAGCCCGGAAAACACACAACAACCCAGGGTGGGAATTGCCCTACATTCCTCGGATTGCTGAGTTTTTCCTTAATATAGAAGCTTGTTAAGATTCGTTGGTCCCTCTTAATGCAGAAGGTTGCTAAGACCCGTGTCCAGTTCCCTTTCTTGGGGAAACATCTCCTCTCTCCCACGTGGAAAACTTTCCTTCAACAACAACAACAACAACAACACCTCTAGAACCTGCTTTAACTTTCTCTAGGTTGATCCTTCTCACTAACTTAGCATAGCGGTGCTGGGACAAGGTCTGGAGAGACTCTGAAGTCTGTAGACAACATCCAACGTGAGAGCAAACACCTACTTTCTCCTCATACACTCTTTAAAAAACTATTGAGGAAGCTTTCCTTTTAGACATAAAAATCAAAACAAGGACTTGTGTATTTTTGCGCAGCAAGTCTTGCTAGAAATGTAGCTGTTACTTACCTCCCTTGGGCTTGAATGGCTAAGGCTGCTGAGCTTCTAAGAGCAACTAAAGATCTGCACATTTAGAGACCAGTAACACTGATGTCTTCCTTTAAAAGTTATAAAACAGTAAACTTTATAAGCCTCAGTTCCGGCTATATGACATTTGGGTGCCAAATGAATAGGGTTTTGTCTATGAATTAGATCGTAAAATCATCCATAGCTCAGACAGATAGGCTCACTGGCTATAAAATGTCACGTGATGCCATTAAAGTAAGTTTTATGGTTTTGGGGAGTTGTCATCCAACATTATATACCACATAACATATAATCGCACTGACGCTGGACTTCATTTGACTCTTTTGCAGGCTACGTGTGCCTCCTGGTCATTCAAATTATCAGGTTTAGGTACAGAAGTTCTCTGTTTCCCCCCAATTCTCACAAATGCTTTGTGAAAAATATGACGTGAGCAAGTTAAGGTAAGTTTCTTTTTGTGCACAAGTTGTTTACAGTTTCTTTGTACTATGGAAAAGGCGGCTGTGAATGGCTTGGTCCAGGTTGATTGAACCACCAGAATCTGAGCCTTTCTCAGAGACTAGATTTAGAAAGGAGGGAAGTGTTTCCTCCCACTTTTTAACTTCTAAACGTCCAGCATTTAAAGTGGTATGTAAATAAATATAGAGATATACAAGCTAGGCACAATAAGCGGCTTTGGCAGAGATGGATTTTGAGGCCTAACTTTAATTAGGTTGACTACAGCGAAAATGATAATGACTTCCTTTGCTCCTTGTGTTTCTCGAAGTGAAATATATATTAACAGTAACAACAAACTATAAGTCCAGCTATATGTTATTTCAAGAGTGGACAACTTGATCTTTTTGGGGGCATTGGATTTAGCAATAATTTCCTAAAATAAGCTGATAAGAAGGAGTTTACTTTTCAGGGTTCTACATTTCAGGGTTCTTCAAATTTCTCTATCCAGAAAAAAAGTAGCCATATGTATATCTTTGGGCGTGTATGTAGTTTATAATATGTGCAACACACACAAGGATGTTCCTGTGGATTCCCCGCTATCTCAAACCTGTATTTCCTCTAATTGTTTCTTCTCTCCCACCACCTTCTCTCAAACTAATTGGGTGCAAACTTTTTCAGGCGATCTTACTCATTGCTTGAAAGTAGGAAAGGCAGTTGAGGTTTATAGGCCATAGTAAATAGCCCTCCTTATACAGATATCTTTTCTTTCCCTTTTCTTTCTTTTTTCCCTTTTTACTGTCTTGGAATTGCAGGGTAGGCCCCAGCTGCCTGTTTATTTCCAGCATTCCTTTTTATTTAAGTAGACTCTTCTCACTAGAGTGTGATTACTCAGCAATAAAGTTTATGGCCGGATTTAACTTTAAGTCTTTGAATTTCCAGGGTTGAAAGAAAGCATGAAAGAGCATCTCTTTTTTCTGCTGGGCTTCTTTCCTCTTTCTTTCTTCCTTTCTTTGTAGTGTCTGATCTTGGAAATATTTACTCACACCAGCTTTACTCGGGACAGTAATGTGTTTTGGAGCCTATAGTAACCATAAGAGAATCCATGGAGTGAATGAAAGTTGGTGTGATCAAATCCAACTCTTTTTAAAGAGAGGATGCCTGTCTAGTGAGTTGTGTTTTTTTTCTTCAAATAGATTGGAATGGTCCAATAAAATGCACCAGGTTTTGAAGAGGCTCTATTTTAAAAATAAGAGTTCAGCTGTTGGTTTGCAGATTCTATAAGATTCCTTCTGGCCTTCATATTAGAGCTTTGGTTTCCAAAAGAAAAAAAAGTTTTCTTTCACTTGAAAAGAGTTGGATGTTGAATTTTATTGTCTTCTTACATTTTTCTCGCTTAAGGTGCAATAGTATATCCAGTTCTGTAATAATAAGTACTATTGAATTAAGTTGAAGTTATATATTGGGAGCTTGTGTTTATTCTCCTTGTAGATAGAAAGACATTAGATGATAAAATAAATGTTTTCTTACATGTAGAAGTCTTTCGAGGATGTAGTAACTTATAGGATTTCTGGAGTGGCTCATTGTAGCTGCATGTATGTATTAGTAAACAAGTTCTAAACGCATTATAATGAACCCTGTGGAAACTGAGGGGATGGGTCATTTTCACAATGGCTACATTTCCGTTGTTAATATACATTTCTGTACTATTTGTGTTTGAAACTAAGGGTAAGGATTATATTTATAGAAGGAAAACCACAATAGGAACAAAAACTCGCAGACTCTTTGTTCATGTTTGTCCCCTTAGGGCCCTTCCATACAGTCATATAACCCAGAATATCCAGGCAGAAAATCCCACAAAATCTGCTTTGAACTGCGTTATCTGAGTCCACACTGTCATATATTCCAGTTCAAAGCAGATAAGGTGGGATTTTATTCAACTGTGGCCCTAGTTTCTCATGCCAAAGGAAAGTGTTAATATTGTGTAGGCTTATGACAACAAAATAACTGATTGAAAAAGTAATTCAGAGTTTAGTTAAAGGTGAAGTCTGTCAAAGGCACATCCCAGTTGTATGTACCAGATGAACTCTGTTGAGTTCCAACGCAAGTAAATCCAAGGGGAAATTTTCCAAAGAAAATTTCATAAATGTTGAGGTGTAAAACTGTTTCCTCTTAAATGGAATGGACTTCGAAGTGTGCATTTTATTGGGGTTGGACTAAAGATGTTAAAATGTCCTTGTCTTGAGTGCGGAAAGGCACCTATTGAAGGATATTCTACCGAAGCAGTTGGATCAAGTTCTAAATAAAATATTTCCAAGCAGCAAAATAATGGTGATTCTGGCTCCATTTGCTAATAGTACCTTAACCTCAGTTTTAAATTGATCTCGCCCTGGCTATCTACCTATCCCTCCAACTAATTAACCAGCCGTTTAATGACTAAATTACTGACTGGACAGCAGAGCTGTTAAGAGAAGGGATAGAGAAGTACATAAAGAATATCGTCACCAATCCCTCTGCTCTAGCCTAGCCAGGTCTACTCAGAAGAAAACCCAAGATGTTCCACAAAACTTCTAAAGAACCATATATATCTATATATATAGATATAGATAGATATAGATAATATAAAATATTCTTGCAAACTCTGTTTTTATATATTTAGATATAGATATATCTGTATTAATATAGTATATATATATATATTGAATATAATATATATATTAAATATAAAATATTCTTGCAAACTCTGTTTATATATATATATAGATATATGTATGTATTAAGATTTTATATATATGTGTGTGTGTGTGTGTATACACACACACACACACACATATATATTCTTGCAAACTCTGTTTCAGTTTTTCACATACCAAAAACAAATCCACTCAAGCCCAAAGGGAAATTTATGAGATGTCAGGATAAAGTCCTCCTCCCAACACCAAACTCTTGCTATTTTAAATATTCCTCACATCCGAACACACCCAGGCAAATAGCAATAGAGAAACCACAGATTGTTTCATACAGTAAATAAAAATGACGTCATGATTATTTTAAGACAAGATGGTTGGAATGGCTGTCCTTAGGGCTGTATTTACTTTCCTGGAGGGGCCTGTGCTTTACTTTCCTTAAGTAATCACCAGTGATCTTTTGAGGAGTAAGAATCCTTCACTGGCCCATCTTGTAAGCAGAAGGAAGCTTATAACACAGGGAAGTGTTTGTGTATATAGCAAGGAAGCTCTTCACTTTCTTTAAAGCCTAAAATGGCTCTGAAAGAGTCACATGATGGGTAGGTTTGCGGGTGCCTTCATCACAAAGCATGATGGGAAAATTATTAATCTCATTGTACAAAATAAGTGTTTTTTTCTCCACTCACAAGTGTGACATTGCTGTAATTTCAACCCTTATCTATAGAATATTAAGCATCACAATATTTACATGGAGATGCCTGAATTGAGTTTCTGGATTAGAGCTTTTTCTGTCTTTCTTTAAGAGGGTTGAAAGAAAGAATAGACCTGGGGCCCTTCCACACAGCCCAATATCCCAGAATATCAAGGCAGAAAATCCCACAATATCTGCTTTATATTGGGATATCTGAGGGTCCTTCCACATAGTGCTATATCCCAGAATAGCAAGGTAGAAAATTCCACAATATCTGCTTTGAACTGGATGATCTGAGTCCACACTCAGATAATGTGGGATTTTCTGGGATATAAATCTGTGTGGAAGGGCCCTTGCTTTCTCCCCCAATCTATATAATCCAGGTTTTGCATTTCTAGTAACTCTGATCACCAAACACCCATTTTTATACACAAAAACTCACTTGTCTGGGATTTCTCCCCCTCCCTATACAGACCCTCTCTACGACCACAGGGTTATGGCTTTGTCCCTTAAGGAGATGCAAACAATACAGAGAAAGGCCACAATATTTTAAGAAAGGGGTTCCTTTCCCAGGAAGAGCATATGGAATCTGTCCCTTCTCCTCCTCTACCCCCACCCAACTAATCCGAAATGGTTTTTCAATAATAATATTTGTTATGAAGGTTATTCGGTAATTATTGCAGTTTTGTGAAACAGTCCTTGCTGGAGGTGAAGTCTGTCTCGGGATAATAAATGGGAGCCCGTGCAGTTCATTGCCAGGTTAAGTAAATGCAGAAACTAAGATAAATCTGCAGACCCCAGAACTCGCCAGCAGAGCTCGCTTTAGACCAAGTTCACAGCCAGCTCGCTTTTCCCTGAGCAAGGTTTAGAAGCCCCTTGGAAGCTGTGGCTTTGTGAAAATAATGATAATAATAATAATAACAACAACGTTAAAACGACCCATTATTCTTAGCAGTATCTTAAGATGGATATATATATAGCTCAGCCTCTGCGCCCACTCCATACTCAGAACTTACCCACCTGCCATGGACACCAAATGGACTCCCATCAGTTTAATCCAATTTCTCCAACGCTTATTTTGGATTTGTTTGCAAACTGATTTTTAGGTTTCTCTGATCTTTTGTTGTTGTTGTTGTTTGGGTTGTGTGGCTCGATTCTTTCTTCCCCCCTTCAAAAATCCACACTTTCAAAGCTCAGGGAGGGGTGAAAAAAAAGCTATGGAAACAAACGAGAGAGGCAGCGTCCTGGAAAGAGATAGAGAGGGCTGCCTCGCTTTTGTGTATCTTTGTGGTTAGGGCGTAACAACTCCAGGTCAAAAAGTTGAGGGTCAAAAGTTTACGTTTCGCACCACTCTTAGTCATGCGGCCAGACAGAGTATGATGTCAATGTTATAGCCAAGATCTTGACTATCAGCACAAAAGATAAAATAGCTTGGAGCGAGGCGTGTATCACAGTATGGACTCCAGGTGAACCCTACTGGTTGAATGACCTCAATTACCCAGGGAAGGAGAGAAAATTCCTCTTTTCAAGGAGTAATACATGTTGTATTTCATCTTGAATTATCAACTGCATTTACTCCCCTGAATATCGTTGGCTGGCAGATGGATCAGGTGAATTGGGAGGATGTTGT